TTTCAGAAATTTTTAGGATGATACGCATGATCTATAAAAAGTTAGGGGCGTTCGGATACTTATGAACGCTACTGTAATTGTATTTATTGTATGTATAAATAAAAAATTTGGGCGATGGTTCAATGAGTCTAAAGATAATTTCAGCTGGACTGAGATTTCTTATTAGCATTAGATAGAATGTAAATAATATTCTTTAAGAATATTAGTGATAACATTGATTTTATCTTAGGTTTCTAAAGATATTTACAGAGAAAAAAGTTTTAAACATAGAATAGAAGAAATGCATAAGTGATATCATTGATCTTATCTTAGATTTTTAAAGCTATTTACAGAAAAAAAGTTTTAAACATAGAATAGAAGAAATGCATATAGTATCTAAATTAATCAAGTCTATCTGAAAACAACTTTGTCAATAATTCAAGTGTTGCTTCTAATGCAACAACGCGATTTTCTAATAATTCTACTTTTTCTTTACAACATTTCTTATATTCGGCGGAATGATTACTGTCACTTGTTATTAAAGATTCTATATTATTATTATTATTAGCAGCAGTAGTAGTAGTATCATTATTATTACTATTATTGAGACTCGGAATAGAGGGTAAATCTAAACTTTGAGAGATCAATAGATCTGGTGTTAGATTATCAGTATTGAATATCGATATGTTTGTGACATTTGGAGTAGTGGATGCGGTGTTTTCATATGAATCTAATTGTTGATCTTTTGTCACAGAAGATGATAATGAAGATATTTCGTTGTTATTAAAAAAGTCAAAATTAGAGTCACTCAAGTTACTCGAATTCGAAAACACAAAGTCTAATGCGTTCGAATTATTATTCGTATCGGAAGAATACTCTTTGTCATCAATTGGTAACAAAAAGGGGACTTCGTTCACGGCAAATCTGTATATATAAATCATTGGCTTCTTTTTCGCTGCGTTGATATTCTCGTTGTACGTGTTCCTCTTCTTTGAGCCATGATTGTTTGACCAACGTCGAAAGTTGTGGTTGTGTTATCACTGGATGTTTGATTGTGCGAAGTTCCTTGTAGAAAGCCATGCGATAAGCGATAAAAGCGTTGGGAATTCGTGATATTTTTCCGTTAGTCTCTAGTCTCGCAATGGCTTTCTCGATGAGATTCATTGGTGTGATTTCTGGAGGGAAAGGAACTTTAAATTCTGGCATTATGTATCTTCTCTTACTTGGTGCGATTGATCTCATTATTTTGTCTTAGCCCTTTGAATTTTAAATTTTTATGATAGCATATCGTTGGTGTTCTCTGATCGGAGGTCGGAGTTTTGAATATGCGTATACAATTATAGTTTGTGAGAATGTTTTAGGACTGTGCAGTATATTCAACTATTCCTATATGTATTTTTCATTAACAATATCGTGAATTAAATCGATAATGAGATCACTAATTATCTTTATCTTTATTTTCTATATCGACATCGTATAAATAACAAATACAAAAAAGCAAACAAGCAATAGCTTCAAATTCAGCTTTTTCGATCGTGCATCTTTATTTCATTTATTGTTTTTATTACATGCATTCAATTAGTAATCAATTGATCATTTCGTTTTAAAGATGGTGCCATTATTATTGTTCTCGCTATATTCCTAAATAAAAAATGCATATGTATCCTTTCGCCAAAATAATTTAATAGGTTCATGTAAACGCCCAGAATCGGATAACAAGTTTATTTAATAACCCCATAGTACAATTCGTTCTCGTTGAGTTCAAACCAGTTTATAATGATAATAAATCCTCGGGCACATTCAACGTAACAAGATTAACTTATATCTATTTTAGCACTGTGCAGGACCCTTGAAATTTTGTCCCATTAGGAAAAGTTTTTGGGTAACATACCAATTCCTTATTCAAGATTTCATACATATTCAAGCTTTGGGTAACATACTACGTAAATTACCTATTCAAGATTTCATGCCCATTCCCTATTCAAGCTTTGGGTAACATACCAATTCCCTATTCAAGAAAAAATTATAATATAAAACGAGAGGTTGTTCCTTTTGATTCTTTTATTTCTTTACTTTATTATATTTCCTCTCTTGCGTTCGGAGCCAAAAAACGAACTTGTTGCGTTTTTACATTCTTCTCTCTTAATACTTCCTTTTTCCTGTTGACATAATATATATATATTTAAAATTACTAAAAACGGGATCCGTTAAAGCCTGAGTCCGATTACAAATAACTTGAAATTTACTACTACTACTAGCTTTTAACCTCAATAAAAATGCTCAGCGCAAAATTTCATATATAACTATATTCTTGTCAGACACTTTAACCTTAATTCTAGTTATATCTAACGAAATTGGAAACCAATATTGGTTTTTTTTATTTTAATACTTAATTTGCGTGTATTTTTTTTCCACAGTATATCTTCCACCACCATTAATTCTAAAACATCAAACACTCTTTCCTTCAAAAAAGAGAAAAAATAAAATGAATAATAACGAATATTTAACAAAAACTGAACGTCAATTTCTAAATGAACCTCCTTATGAGCTAACGCTCGAAATTGAAGAGTTAACGAATCCTGCCAAGAAAAACCGAAATAAACTTGGTAAACAACCACGGCCACAAAACAGTTGGATCATTTTTCGAAGAGATTATCAAGCAAGTTTACGTTGTCGTAGTCCTAACGCCAGACAACAAGTCAAACATACGGCTCAAGAGTGTAGCTTAATGTGGCGACAACAGTCAAGTGAGGTCAAGCAATTCTTCAAAATATTGGAGAAAATAGCTTGTGAAAATCATAAGCGCATATATCTTAATTATAAGTATAAACCAAGAAACGCGAAAGATCCCAACATTAAGAAATGGGTTTTTCGCGAACAAAAAAAATACACATTACCCATGTCCAGCTCAATGAGTGACAACTTATCTCAAGAGATCGTTAGGTCTCCCTCTTTGAATGATACAATATCAAAAATCGAATATAATCATACTATTATCACCGCTTCAACAATCATTGATGATACTCATCCTTCCACAATTAATACTAATAATGATGCCGGAAATTCGGTCAACAACGCGTTTAATGAAATTATTTCATTGGAACAACTTTTATCTGGAAATGTTGATGTTAACGTTAATAATGCGGATTCAGCAGCCATTGATGATATACATCTTTCCACGATCAATACTAGTAATGATGTCGGAAATTCGTTTAACAACGCGTTTAATGAAATAATTCCATTAGAACAATTTCCATTTTTATCCGGAAGTTTTAATATTAACGTTAATAGTCATGCGGATTCAACAACCTTTGATGATATTCATCATACCGATATTAATAATTATGATCAATTTCCTTTTTTATCTGGTAATGTCGACGAATTTTCTATTAATTACCTCGATCGACAACGTGTTCAATAAATTGGATCGTAACGATAACGACAATCAATTTCCTATTTTACTTGAGAAAGATTTTTTCTTCGCTGACAACAACTATAACGATAAAGATGATAATGGTTCAATTACTTCATCGCCGCAATTCATAACTAATATCCAATGACACTACCACTGAAATCTTCGCCTTTAACGGAATCACAATCACTCACAATTATTTATGATTCATGTCACTTTTGACAATTTCTTATATGATAGCGTCTCCTTTATTTAATTTTTATTAAACGATCCGTTAGCTCGTTCGTTTGTTCGTTCTTTCTTTTATTCTTTTATTCTTTGTCAATTCGATACTTTGATACTTCGTTTACTTCGTTACTTCGCTACTTTGCCATTTCGCTACTTCATTTACTTCGTTAGATTTTTCTTTTTAATAGTCAAATAAAGCTAGACAATAAAACAGACATCCATTAATCATCAATCTGTTCTAATCGCTTAATATAATAATCATTCAAAGATTCATTCGCAAAGATTGTGAAATAAAGTTATTTAAATTAAAGATATTTTTTTGAGTCCAATGCTAACAAATGTGATAATGTTTTACAGCCAAATACATGTAATCATAAACATTATAATATATTATTTCTTGCAAGCAGAGCTTGTATTTGTTTTGTTCGGTTAGGATTGCGATTATGTTTATAGCACATGTTATATAATTTAGCAAATATTTTCACAGTATTGCAGTGGGGTTTAATTAAATCGTAAATTAGCATCGCAGTGTGTTAATTTTGAGAAAACTTCCAAAAGTAAAATTGTGATTCTGTCAAAAGAAAAGAAACATTATTTTTATATGTTGAAAATTTTGTGTTTATATAGAAGTTGATTTCATGAATTTAGAAATTAATATTTATCTACAAAGGTCTTTCGAAAATTATTGTAAGGATAAAGAAAACGGTAAATAAAGTTGTGCATTGGGCTAAAAAATGCAGTTTAAATTAGAGAAATCTATCAAAAGAAATCAAGAATGTCTTCTATTGAAGAAAATAGCTTGTGAGAATCATAAACGCGCATATATTCTAATTAAAAGCCGAAAAATGCGAAAATTAAATGTAAAAATTTATTTTTTGGAACAAAAAAATACTCATTCGCTTCGTCATGGTAACATCTATACTCATCAAACAATTTAACGTAACTTTGAAGTCTATTTAGTCTTTCAAATTTGATAATTTTAACAAACTAAACCGTAAAAATGATATATTAGGTTAGCTTTATAACTTTTACAGCTTAATACATGTATTTTGTATGCATAATTTTTATTAAGGTTTAAAATTATCTATTTTGTTAGTTTATTAATAAATGCTCATAATTCGAATAATAATTTTGTTGATCTTTTTATAAGATCTTCAACCAAAAATTAATGTCGCGGCTGACGCTGAAATTGACCAATGAAATTAGAGAATAGAAATTGATCAGCCAATAGGATGCGCTGATTTCAGCTTCAGCCGTTACAATTAATGATAGATTTGTTGATCTAAAATTTTTTCAGCCTTCAGCCAATCAAATACTTGATTTTTGATGACATAGATGTAAAATACTTTGAAAATTCAGAATAATCAAGGTGGGTTATTATTATTGATTAATTATTATTGATTATATTATTAGTAGTTCATAGCATCACGTGTAAAAGAAGATAAATATATTTATTTAGATATTTATTTCAATTCGCAGATTATTATAAATTCCCAAAATAATCAAAAAACAGTAATCTTCTAAAAATAGTTAAAGTAAGAAAAATCCCCAAAAATAATTCATTAAATATCAATTTACAACTTTATTTATACCTTTGACACTTTTTACATTTTTTTATACTTTTTTTACGACTTTATTTAATTTAATTACACTTTATATCTTAATAAAAGTATATACTTGTATGATCATAAACTTTCACGTCACAAATATAATCAGTTATTTCATAACACACATCTCAATATCCAATAAGCTAATCCTTGACGTCCAGTGACCCGATGTGAACAAAAATACTACTATTCGATTCGTCTCGACTAGACGAATCGAATAGTAGTATTTTTGTTCACATCGGGTCACTGGACGTTGGAATATTGCGTCTTAAAGTAGCAGCTTCATTTTTTTGACATTAACAAAAATTAATCAGCCAATTTAGAACGTGATATCTTGGCCTCCAGTGATCCGCTCGAACAAAAATTTTTTTGGCGATCAATTTTTCATTAAGAATGATCTCCAAATATGAATCGGTCACTTTGGGACATCTAGTTATTAAATTTGAGTGAAAATACCACCATTTGATTTTCCTAAATTAGACAAACCGAATGGTGGTATTTTCACTCAAATTTAATAACTAGACGTCCCAAAGTGACCGATTATTGTATTTCGGGCATGAAAGTTTATGAACATACAATATTCAATATACGTAGAAGCTCTACAAACCTATAAAAAGTATCAATGATCAGCATTTGTAATGTTCTTTGTGCTCGGAAAAATTTGGTGCATTACACATGATTTACGGAAAGTTAGGGGGGTCGGATACTTTTGGTCACGACTGTAAATAGAATATATGTGGTATAAAAGAAGTTCTCTTTATCCCATTTCCAAAGAGCCTTAGCAAAATGGAAAGCGAAGAATCTATTAAGCATGTTCTCATGTAAGAAAATAAGCGACGTGTAAATTCACTATTCTACGGGGCACAATCATAATGATACCCATGTATTGGGATAACTGAATATCGATATTGAATTGTTGTATATTTATAGTAACGCTTCATATCGATATTGAAAATTGCAGTATTTGTATTACTCTACATGTCATGAAAGTTTTACGTTTATTTATTTATTTATTTTTTTATTTTTGCATGACTAAAAATTAAGATACACATTCAATATATTAGATAATGATAATAATTTAAAAAATTGTTAACATTAATACATTCAATTACAGTGCACACGGAAAATAAAGGTAGAAAATTTTTGCCATATTGGTCTACTTCTAAAAAAGTTTGGTGTGAAAGAATAAATGTACACACCCCTACAATATATTACCGGAAATTTCAAAAATGAATTTGTCACTTGGATCCTGATATCTCGACATCCGGTGATCCCATTCGAACAAAGATATCACCTTAGATTTGTCTCGACTATATACATGTAAATCTAACGGTGATTGCCGGATGTACATGGCATTTCTATGAATTCTACCCCGAAATGTATCTCTATCCGTAATACATATCCCGGTCTGGACATGTCAAATGGAATGTATCATGTGTTGATTTTAAGAGCATGATGCTCTACTCAGAGGTATTTCAGAAATGAATTTTTTTTGTAGAGTTCTTAAAAAACTAACTGCCATTATTTTCCGTGGTGATTCCATCTCTACCCATATTTTTATCATAATTGATTTAGTTCACAAGAAAAAATTATCATTTACACCAATTTTATTAAATAGAAGAAAACAAAATAAAAAAACGAGAATAACCACTAATAACAGATAGAACAAATTAACAAGCTAAATGCGTCAATAATATTAATCAATAAAAAGGATCGAGATTAAATTTTCCACGCGCATTTTAAATACAATTTAAGCTCACATTTTGTAATGATCTCCGAGAACAAGAGATTTAGATTTCAATCTCTCGCAAACATCCTCGATTAAAGGCCGGTCTTCCGGCTCAGGTTTCCAACAATCCTCATATAATCTCGTGTATTCTAAAGGCGTAGCAGAAATTGGCTTTTCACATAGTCCACCCTTAATCTTTTCCATCTTAATTATATGGTCTATACCTTCAAAAGGGACACAGCAACTCGATATTTCCCAGAATAAAACTCCTAAACTGTAAATATCTGATCTTTTATCTTTTTTGTATTTATCAATTGCAAATATTTTAGGCTCAGTATATGCTATCGCACCAAAAATTTTCGAAAGACCGGAGGGTGGGCTCTTAATGTTCTTGGAAAGACTAAAATCAGCGATTTTTATTTGACCATCATGTAATCAAATATTATTGGAATGCTTTTTAAATAAAAAAGAAAAATGACGAGATTTAATGAACTATTACTGAATAAAATTTATACAAAGATAATGAATATTAACAAATCTCGATGAATTATATCGTTCGAGTGAAGATAATGAATACCATCAGCTATTTTCTTTGCTAATGATATTTTGTTAGTCCAGTCTAACGTTTCCCGGTTATTTTTTAAAAATTCATGCAACGTCCCATTGTTGCGAATTGCATTACCATGAAATAAGAGTTTTTAACTTGAAACAGAAAATAAATTTACTCTATGATGAAATATTTACATACTCTTACTAATTCCGTATAATAGAATAATATTCTTATGTTGAATACAATTATGTATTTTTAACTTTAAATACCAATATAATTTACAAGTTAATACTGTAATTTTTGACTCATTAAAAATTCATTATTAATAATCACCCCACCTCCTTTATAAATGCGTAGGAGTCATGACATTTTTTTGATCTTTTTGAGTGCAATTTTTTCGGGGATTAACTTGCATTCAGCTAAATAAACTTTTCCAAATAATTCATAACTTCTTCCTTAGTGATTTCTTCTGTTATTACACGAATTTCATCTTCAGAAATTGCACGATCAAGCCATGCCATCTCGAAACTGTAGCTTCAAAATAAGAGATCGTTTTAGAATATAATGAAAACTTTCTTCGGAATTTCATATTCTTAAGTAGTACTATTGATAACGGGGATTAGAGGCTTTTGGGCGGAATTATGAGTTTGTGTTGAGAATTTACGATATTAATGGTAACAGTAGTAAAAATTGTATTTAGTTAACGTTAAGAATGGGATTGTCGTGACATTGTTGGAATCATTT